GTTGCAAAGCCAAGAAATCTCGAACCATCAACCCATCCTAGTCGTCCCTCCCCGAAGTCCACATCGCTATCCACCACACCATCCGTCGCTGCTGTCTTAACCGTGGAGATCCTATATGAAACTGCCCTGCACTTTTCAACATGTGGGTCCCTTTTTTGACTACTGTTCACGTTATTTTCAATGTCGCCTCCACTGGCCCCTTCTATAGTGCGGATAGTCGACGCCATGAATGAAACGAATGACGCTTAGTGGGTTAAAACGGCAATTTCTGGCAAAATCTTTTTCACCCCTATTTTGCTGCTGTCAGCTTAACCGTGGAGAACCTATATGAAACTTCCCCGCACTTTTCAACATGTGGGTCCCTTTTTGACTACCGTTCACCTTATTTTCAATGTCGCCTCCACTGGCCCCTTCTATAGTGCGGATTGTCGACGCCATGAATGAAACGAATGACGCTTAGTGGGTTAAAACGGCTATTTCTGGCAAAATCATCTTCACTCCTTTTTTGGCATCCAGAAAGCCATTTAGCGGAAATGGAGCATAGTTTTAAACTCAGTGCTCATGCCCCTACACCATGCAAAGAACCATTTTCAGAAAGCATCCTACGCACTGAAAGACCTTCCTTGTAAGAGCAAGCGTCATTAGGGGCAACATTATCCAGCAGAATTGAGGAGTTGAGATGGGCCTGTGGTCCATTGCGACTTGAAGCGACATGCCATGAGGACTGGATTGAAATGATGCGATTCTACTTCAAAATGCATTGAATATTCTGTTTGAATATCAGAGTTTTCCAATTTTTTTTCTTGAAGCTGACGAATCATCTTCTTGAGAAATCTCTTTCATGTTCTGTAGAGAGGCTATATTCTACCCGATCCGCAACCGCAACGGCCCTTTAAGATAATACCACCATTCGGAAGGTATTGCTCATCATTGCCTTCAAGTAATTGTTGTATGCAGCAAAAATTGCCGTTCAGATTCTTTACTTCTCAGCATACTAAACATACTGAGCATAGCATATATTCAATACAAAACCTATTCACCTCCATTTATGCGGTAATGCTGAGGATGTTTATTCGAAGTAAGACACCAAACACTCGGAGAGTATTCATGTGAAATGTATGGGCTCTTGTGAATACACTAGATTTCAGGACCCATGTGATATACCTTTCTTTCACGAATACTGTTGAGATGTGATCACGCGTGATTCCTAATAAATTACATTAAGTTCTAAGTGTGCAAATGAAGTGAAAATAAGCTCGAATGCGCAAAGGCGAAGCAAATGCCAAGAAATTTACTACAACATAGTGGCCATAGCAAAGCGTTTTCTTATATTGAACAAGAAGTCATGGAGTCGCTTTCTCCTTATAATCTTCCAGTGATCTTCAAGACGCTGGAAACAAATTCTCCGCTAGAGGATAGCTATCGTTGGTCGTACTTCTTTCCAAATTATACATTTGTACATCTGCCACGTTTTTGTAATGGATTGGCTGCTGGCTTGCCGCTGAAAAGTTGCAGGCATTCAAGCATCAAAAATTTATGCTAGTAATCTATGCTGCTGTTTATACATACAGTCACTAGTAAAAAGCTCTGAGCTCATATACAGTGCTAACAGAGTTTACGCCTACTTGCCATCTTATTTGTTTATTCGTTTATTAATTTATACGCTACATAAGGTAGACGTGAGGAATAAACAACAACACGCTATAAAAGCTCATACAACTATATAAAACTCAGCAATTCTTTCCTTGCAAGTGGCTTAAAGAGAAGTACTACTTGCGATTCTAAAGATATGAATATATGGCCTGCTCTACAGTTGACACTGTAGAGCTTCAAGTTGGTTTGTGGCGTTGCATAGGAAATTTTCACGGAGCTGCCTGTGGTCCTTGGAACATGTCTAGTGAAGAACCTCGACTCACCAACTCTGGCAATCCCAGTCAATAACTTGAATACCATACAGACATCACATACCTTCCTTCGTGATTTTAAGCTATGAAACTTAAACTTTTGATTCCTAGAGGCTGGGTTAGGCACATCTGAAAAAACGGCCTGCCCTGTCCTAATGCATAACTTCCGGGAACAATTATTCTGAACTTATCCCAGTAAGTCCACGTCTTTCTTTTTCCAAGTCCAGAAAACCGATGCAGCGCTTTCCACAATGGGCCGCACATACGTCTTGTACGCCTTAATTAAGACCTTTTCATCCTTTACTGTCAAGCCCTTAGAAATTTGATAGGTTCGAAAAGTAGCTTTCCTGACGATACCCTCATAGTGGTCAGGAAAACTGAGTTTATTGTTACAATGGAAGCCAAGATCCCTGACAGCGGAGACTCATTCAGACAATGCTCACGGAGTTTGTAGGCTCTCGCAATGTAGAGCCGCCAATCCTCATAAACACTAGCTTTTCAGGAGCTAGAAGTAACTAACATGACTCAGACCACTTCAGGATGGAATCTAAAGAACATCGAATACTGCTTATGTCTTCAATACTTTCCTATAGACTCTAACGCCGTCCGCAAACTGCATCCATACCACCCGACATCCCTCTAGGAGCTCCGCCG